AAGAGTCTTGGAGCAATTTATTTCTGAACGTTGGTAAGGCTGGTGAAATTTAAGGAAATATATATAACTGTATTTCACAACTCCTCCTCAATTTTCCTTATTTCTTCAAAATGTGAATATTTCCCATGAGAAAACAAATTTTCTGTTCGATGTTGAAAATTGCCCAGGGATAAAATGTTCTTTTCCGCAATTATAATCTTACCTCGTCGTTTTTCTTTTGAAATTCGTAAGAATTTCACAATGGACAAAAAAGGGTTTTGATTTTGCTATTTTACGAATGCGCCTCAAATTTTCCCATTTTTTTCGATTAAGTTTCTGGGTAAAATAAATTGAGATTATTTGTTCCCTGTTGAATCCGATTTAACGAACTGTTGGTGACGAAAAAATATTTTCTTTTCCGGTAGGAAATAGAATTTTGCGCAAACTTTCTCATGTACGAAAATGTTTTAAAACGAAATAAAAATTATTCGAGTGTTTCATGTGGAAAGAAAATAAATGCATGTAATATTTAAGATTTTAATTCGCGTTTCGCACGCATAATAATAATGAATACTTGGAATTATCATGTCAGGTGTCAAAGTTCGGATTTCTGTGTGATATTTCCATATTTCACGGCATCGTTTTTGTGCTAAAATCGTACCGTATTATTGTTATTCTTCGATTGCTAAACATGCTTTATTTATTTTAGTTTTTCTTTGTTTCTCGTGTCAAAATTTGAATTGAAATTCAAAAGCTTATTTATAGTAAATTAAACTCATTGCAAAATTTTGCTGGGTTAAAAAAAAATTCAATACTCGATTTTTCGCAGCATTGACAAATTTTTGTTGAAAAATTTGAGTATAGAAATCTGGAAGATGTTGACAATCGAAACGTTTCAAAAGGGTTTTATTCTCACGTAGAAACAGCATTTTTATTCCGTAATATTTTCAGTCATAAAAAAACAGTCTCACTTTTTCAACATGAAATTTATTAAAATTTTGAAAGCTTCCGAAATGTTCGTCTCTCTCTCTTTAGCAAAGAGTTTGAATTCTCAGTATTATCTTCGGAATAAAGAAGGAAAAATCGCAGAATTTTATGACAACAGCTTTTCGATGCTTTTCACCCACAGGAAAAGTTAGATAAGAACGACATTGACAAGCGTGAGAAGCCGGAAGTCAATAACGAAAAAAAATTAAATTTAATTGATTGAAGTTATTTGAGAAATAGGCAAGTGGAAACATCTGAAACTGACCTCGTAAAAGAAGGGAATTTCAGAGTCGAAAATTCTCGTCACGCAGCCAAAAAATAAAATAAAAATAAGACAAGCTTCGATATTATTTCTGTCATGATGTCGCATATTTTTCTCCTGATTTTTTTTTATTTTTATTATCCCAATAATAACAAGCTTTTTGTTTTCCTTCTTTTTTTCGTGGAAAAATAAAGTTTTGTCTTTCTTTCACGTAATTCCTCTGATTCCTGATTGTGATCAAAGGTTGTTCGCAGGAAAGTGGAAAAACCATTTTCCTTGACCTTTTGGGAAACCCAGGTTTATTTTCAGAGATTATAGATTTTTGTCCGTCTTTTTGGAATTTAATTGAAAAAATTCTTGGGCATTTTCAGGCTCAAATTCATATTTTTCGAGGCTTCATCAGAGAAAAGAAAAAAAATTTCGTTTTCTGGCTCTTCGAAAATTGGCCGATTTTTTCAATTTGAAATATTTCCACGCTTTAATTTATAGGGCTTTTAACTTCATTCATTAATTTTTTTTATTTATTACATTATTTACGAAAATTTCAAGAAAAATATATCCGACGAATTTTATTTATTTTCATAAATCATCCCAAATGATTTCTGTGTTTTCATGTGATGCCTTCCTATTTATTTTCTTTGACTGCTGGAAAGCACAAGATATTTTTGAAACCACGCGAATTTTGAAATTCTTACATTAATGCAACATTTGTATTTTCAGAAGCCGATTTACAAATTTTTTTAATCTGTTGCCGCAGAATTAAAAAAAAGATTATTCCGCTCAATTTTCGCCAAAATATTTCTCGGGATTTTTCGTTTTTTTTCGATTGTAAGATAAATAAAAAAACTGAAAGTTTATCTGTGCAAAGTGTTTATACTTGATGGTTGCCCACAATAAATCTGCAATTTTTAAAAAAATTACAAGCGAAGGGAATTTTTAATGAAGCAAAGGCGCTTCACAGTATGTATTTTACTTCGGTCGTTATTTCACAGCAGGAATACTTTTATTCTAGCCTTATTTTGAATTTTTGCTATATTGCCTCAACCAATCCTTTAAATGTTTGCCTCAAGCATCTCACATCAATCTTGCGATTTTAACACACACACAAAAAAAAAAGAATCAAAGCTAAAATAGTCGATGGCTGCTGCTGATAAATTTTCCGCATTATTGTGCATTTTATATACGGGTACCAGGAACAATAAGGAAGTGATCAATTCGATGCTTCTTTTTTTCTATCAAAATTTTATGGAAAATGTTTTCTTTCATCCAGGGACATGTTTTGCAGAATATTTTTCGCATAAATATTTATTTTTTTACAGCTTACAGTTTGCTATATTTTTGATTGAGGGGAAGAAATAATTATGCAGAAAAGAGCACCTGAGAAGTTTGTCATTGAGGATGGAGAAGCAGGAAAAAGTGAGCTTTTTTGTTTGTATTTAATTTTTTTTTAATTTGTTGGTGACATTCTGATTTTCAATTCAAATACTTATAGAGAGAAGAGAGGCAGAAGAGACAGGAGAAGGAGAGAAGAAAGGAGGTGTCCTGGGGTACCTTATGGTCATAGCCAGGGTCCTTGTGGCACTGGGGCTTTTGTATGTCTTCATCTGCTCCCTGGACTTGCTGTCAGCTTCCTTCAGGCTCCTTGGTGGGAAAGCAGCAGGTATAAATATACTTGTTTACTTGATGTGATGTATTTGGCAATTGATTGCATTTTTTTTTCTTTGATGATCATCAGGAGAGATTTTTGGGAGTCCACTTTTGCGCAACCCTGTTGTAGGGATGGTCATTGGTATTCTGGTCACTGTCTTGGTCCAGAGTTCATCCACTTCCACTTCACTGGTGGTGTCCATGGTCACTGCTGGCTGTGAGTTTATATATATATATTTAAGATTACATTCTTTCAAGGAAAATGTTTCCTTTTTTGATTTTTTTTTTCTATAGTGTGTGTGTGTGTGTATTTTTTATTGGGGGGGGAGGGGGTTAGAGTCACTGACCTTAATTCAATGTAAGGGCAATGACTTCCTTACACCTTTTTCTGACTACAGGGTGAAAGGGAGTGTTCCAATTGTGTGTGTGTGTGTGTGTGTCTTTCTTGAGAGTATCTGAGCAGCAGCCATTAATCTTCAGCTTGAGATGCTTGGGGTCATGATGTTGGACATTCCAAGAATGTGGCCCACTTTCTGTGGGATAGGTTTTAGATATATATTTTTTTTTTTTATTCTCTGTGTGGTGGGTTTGATGAAGTATTGTATTTCTATATTGTATATATATAGACTTGGAAGTCCAACAAGCCATTCCAATGTTGATGGGGGCCAATGTGGGGACATCCATCACCAATACATTGGTGTCCTTCAGCCAGGTTGGGGACAGAGAGGAGTTCAGGAGGGCCTTTGCAGCAGCCACTGTGCATGACATGTTCAACTGGCTCACTGTGATTGTCTTGTTGCCAATAGAGGTCATTACACGTGAGTGCCATATCATGCTTTTGAATAACTTGACATATCAACCTCTTATATATATAAGTCACTCTTTGGAAATTGAATGTTAATTTCTGGATGCAAGCAACAATTTTATCCTTGTATGTAAGTATACTCTTTGACAGTAAGGAATGCTTCAAGTGAAGTTTAGGGAGAGCTTTTTTTCAAGGTACTAGTACTTGCCAAAACTTGGAGTGATGAATCAACAATTTGAAGTCATTTAAGAACATATAGAATAGCTACCTATGCTATGCAAAATCTTGAAAATCAAGAACACAAATTTCTGCAGCTTTGATTTAAACTGACCACAATGCTCAAAATACTATTTTTTAAACACATATGTTGCATATGATCCAAATGTAAATTGTTCAAGCAAAATCTCATCAGTTTTTTAAGGAAATGATGGAAGAATTATATGATCCATTTTCAATGACAAAAATTTTTCAATACCATATTAACAACCTCTGCTGTAGAATATGGCTTATCATAGCAAAACCAATACTACTGTGGAAATCAAGTCATTCAGAAGAAAATTTAATTGTATAATTCCATTTGAAACCATGCACAATTTAGCAGTGCTTATCAGCAATGGAATTTAAAAATATTCTTCATGAAGTACACCTTGAATTTATACTTGAGCGTAATTATGTTTCAAAGAGTTTACCTTTGTTTTGAACATTGATTTTCAGGGGGCTTTATCTCTAGTGATTTTCTTTGCCTCAAAATTGTGTGATGATGTTGGAAGAATCATGGAAATTTTTTTTGTTGCAGATATGCTGTATCACATTTCATATGGACTGACCAATTCCTTGGCAACTGATGCAAATTCCACAACCACCAAAGAGATTGAGCTGCTCAAGGTCATCACAGATCCTTTGACAAAAAGGGTTGTGCAGGTGTGATTCTTGTTTATGAATGTTATTGTTCACAGAAGCATCATCTGGGATTTAATTAAAAAACCCTCTGCTTCACTCTTTACAAGAAGATAACTTTTGGAGTATTTTTGGTGGGCAAATTAAATCAATGCATACAAAAAGTAAATGTTTGTGTGAAAGTGGGGAATAATGAATCTTGAAATTTATTAGTGATGTGCAAGGAACTTCTTATGTTGGCCATAATTTTTATACTGGACAGTACTTCTTGAGACACCTCATAAATTAAATCCGCTCCTTGAATAATTTTTTTAGTTCTCAGTCTTTTTGCGATTTCAGTGATCAATTTATTTTTCACACAGTTGGACTCAAAAGTACTTGAAGCCTGGTCACTGGGGGATGTGAACAACCAGTACTACAACTACACTTCACTGCTCAAGAATTGCTCCAAGAAGTGTGAGTGTCACATTTTATATTTTACAATGCAATTCCTCAAGTGTTTGACATGTATATACACAATGTGGAACATATTTCAACTAACCAGTAACATTTTTCTTATGCATATATATTCAGTTTAACATTTTGGATTAAGAGCAAAGTGGGTTTCATGTGAAAACCTTTGTGTAATAAGGCATTCAACCTTTATTCGAAGAACATTTGAAATCTCTTTCATTCAATGTATACTGTATATGCATTTTTTCTTGGGTAAGATATGTGTCTTTCAATTCTCTTCCTTATCTTTTGGGGATGCATGTTGTGCAAATTTTCAATGCACAAAATTCAAGTCTAATTCTGCATCACAACGAAAACCTGAAATTTAAAACAGCAGCATTATAATCAACTTTGAATATTATTTGTTTACAGTGTAAAACTGTTTTCTTAATGCTTGACAACTGAAATGGTTGGACTATGGACTCCTCTTTCATTATTGCAACAGCAACTTTGAATAGGGATGGTGTTAATTTTTGAAACAGGATGCATATTTAAAATACTTTAAAAATGTTCAATCATTTTTTGTATCTGGGTTGGATAGTGGGACATAATATGGTTGAATTTATCAAATTTCTTGTAACATGAATTGCAGGTGACCCAGAAACTTACCTGTTTTTTGACACTGGCATGGATGACACAGCCACTGGGGGAATCCTGTTGGCTATATCACTTGTCATGATGTCTGGCTGCCTCATCTTGCTGGTCAAGGTCCTCAACTCCATCCTTCAAGGTGAGAAACTCAATTTTGCCCCTCTTATAATATATCTTATAGTCTTAATTCTTTGTTGTTTTTGTACATGTGTATGATAAATTTTGAGATATACCGTATTTACTTGAGTACCCCGAGCCCTCGAGTAAGGCGCGCACAGGGGTTTTTCAGTTGAAAATTTGGCTAAAATTGTATCCCCAAGTAAGATGCGCACCCCATTTTTAGGGACTCTAAAACCACAAAATTTTGAAAATAAAAACAAAAAATATGACTTTTGATGTGAATTGAACATGAATCTGATCAATTTTCAAATTTTTCAGTAAAAAAAAGGTTTTCTTGGTACATTTGTCACACATTTCTCCATTATAATCAAGTATAATTAACACACAACTTACTAAAACTTCTTGAAATTTTTTTACCTGCTTATGATGTGCACCCCTTTCTTTCTTCTGAAATTTGAGAAAAAGGGTGAGCGTGGTACTTGAGTAAATACGGTATATCTTTTTTTTGTACCAAGATTTGTTGCAACAATAAGATTCCACTGCTTATATACACTGTGTATTATTGCTTTCTATATATCCACATCAGGTCAAATCTCCTCCTCTGTGAACCGAGTCATCAACATGGAGTTTGCCTACCCTTTCTCCTGGGCCCCAGGCTACATTGCCATAGCATTGGGTGCCATCATGACCTTCCTGGTCCAGTCCAGCTCAGTCTTCACCTCAGCCCTGACCCCGTTGGCAGGCATGGGCCTGGTCACCCTGGACCGCATGTACCCTCTGTGCCTGGGCTCCAATGTGGGCACCACGTCCACAGCTGTCCTAGCTGCCCTGGCAGCTGGCCCAGACCACATCAGAGACTCTCTGCAGGCAGCCCTCTGCCACATGCTCTTCAACTTGTTTGGCATCATGCTCTTTTACGTGGTACCAGCCATGAGGTGGCCTGTGGGACTGGCCCAAATGCTGGGAGACATCACAGCAGAGTACCGGTGGTTCGCAGTGGCGTATTTGGTCATCATGTTCCTCATGTTCCCACTCTGCGTGTTTGCACTGTCCCAGGGTGGGGAGGTGGTGTTTCTGGCAGTGTTGGTGCCGTGTTTGGTCCTGGCCGTTGTTGTGGTGCTGGTGAATGTGGTGAAGCGGCGGAGACCGCAGTGGTTGCCGGAGCCACTGAGGAGCCACGGGTGGCGCTTTCTGCCCAGGCCACTGCGCAGTTTGAGGTTCTATGATGAGATTGTGGTGCAGGCCAAGTGTTGGAGAAAGAGGATGGGCAAAGGTGAGGCCTCTTCTTCTGATGCTCTGGAAGCAGGTAATAATGATAGTGGTGGTGCAGGAGCAGCTACTAGGGACCAGAGTGGTACTTTTGCTGTTACTGCTGCTGGTGTGGATAATGCTGCCTTTGATGAGGATGGCATCATCATCATCAGCAATAAGAACAGCTAGTGTTGCTATTTTGTGTGGTGTATGTGTGTGCCACCTGAGGCTGTGCTCTTTCCAACTGGTGTGTTTGTGAGTAATTATTGAATTACTGGAAGAAAGAAACCTACATTATGTTGATAATTTGTGGATTTTTTTCTTTGATTCTCTCAGTATAATTTTTCCTGCATTTTATTGTGGTTAAATATATATTTATATACAGCATATATTATTTATATGCTTTTAACTCAAATTCTCAATGATGTAAAAATAATTTCCTGCATGACTTTTTTTTTAGTGCTTTAAAAGCATTTTTGAGCTCTTGAGCTTTGGATTATAATTTTTCAACCAAAATCCAGCTAAATTGTTTCATATATAGGCTTGGACTTCCTTAGCACAATTTCCTCTAATTTTATACTTTGCTTTATATATTCCAGTACATTTTTTAAATAGTCTTTTTTCACACAAAATGATTAAATGCTATAATATCTACAAAAGAAAATAATCCCACAAAAAGAGAGAATGGCAAGCATATGACTTGTCTCAAACATTCTTGATTATCTATATGCATTGAATTCTGAAGCATTGAGGACTCAAATAAGTTCTTTGAACTCCCATTCCATTTATTGTACTTGATTCAGAAAGAGATATAAAAGTCACGTTTCTCCTCTTCAAACACGCTTTTCCCAAATTTCAGATAAGACTTGATGGGAACTTTATTTTCCTGCAAGAAAGTTTAGGAAAATTGTCCTCCAAAGCAAGCAATAAAAAATATGAGGATGAGGGGAAGTTTTGATGCAATTTGAGCACAATTGTAAGAACAGCAGTTTCCAAAAATAACATCCAAAAGTGCAAAATTGCATTACTGCTTTCTTCTGAGAGTTTTGACAGACATTTGCAAATTTTTGGACCTCATGAATTTATGATAGAAAATTGGAAGAACTTGTGAAAAAAGTATTTAAACTGAATTTAGGTGATACCTCAGAATTTGGTCAAATTGCAAAGCACTCAAATTGTGAGACAATGGTTTCACATGGTATTTGAGGATTCATGCTCAGGTCGAATTGTGTGACAGAGGTTGAATAAAGAGCTGACCTTCCAGCAAATTTGACCATCAAATTGCATGAGGTCAAATTGCAATGTACCACTTGTATATGATTATTACAAATTCTCTCCTTCATGTTCTACAGAAGCAGAGAAGTTAAAATGTTTTTTGATTACAGTCAACCCCCGTCTAACGGACTTGATTTGTGCAAGGGACAAGTCTGTTAAGACAAAAAGTCCTTTACACAAATTCAATTACATAAAAAATTAAAAATTTCAATTTTCAACACTAATTTTAAACCAAAAGAAGTCTGTTTGGCAGATTTTGTCTGTTGGGCAGGAGGAAAAACTGCTTGCAGAGCTGGTCTGTTTGGCAAAAATCCCTTACACGGGAGGTCTGTTAGGTGGGGGGCCACTGTATCTGTATGCAGCAGTACTGTTCACATCCATTTTCATCACAATGATTGCTGACATTTTTTTGTGTCCAAATACTGCATTGCGCTGTAAAATATTTCCCTGTTTCTTTTTTGGAAGTGTAATAAGTTGATATCAGGGAAAAAATCAAGGAATTCAAGCTATCAATAATATACTTGAGCATTTTCACTGAATCTTGACTATTAAAAGGAAAGAGGGAGTTCATAAATTTCAAATTCTTCTTCCCATAAATTGATTGGCTTTCAGTTTCATCATGCACTGCTAATGTCTTCAAATTTCATTTCACATTGATTTTCAGCATATATAAGATGATATAATCATAGACAGCGTTTGAAACATATATGATGACATTTAGATGAGGCGGATGAGAGATAAAATCAGAATTTAATCCGCATTGCCCTTCCAATGAAACCCACCCCAAAAAAGTTATTTCAAGTGCATCCAATGACTAGTAGATTTCTTTGCGTGGGGGAAAACCTTGTACGTGAGGAATACCTCATATATACGACTTATATGCAGCAAAATCCCGCTTAGTCACTTTCTCAGCGGGAAAAGGAGACACAGCAAAGAGAGAAACGAATATCATTCCATGATCACAGATTCCGCACCGCGGCTTCACACAAAAATGGAAATACTGTAACATTTTTGTGTGATGGGGGCATTATAAGATAAGCATTAACCTCTCTTCTCTTTCTTCCAGAGATATAAATTATTATTATTGTGAGTCAACCAGTCAGATGAGAAAAAAGCCCCTTTACCCGGTCTTGAGATTCATTTTCGGAAGAATAAATACATTAAAGAGAGAGAGGAGAAAGCAGGTGACCAGGTGGGAAAGATGGAGGTGGGACAGTCTGCCTAAGACACAGCAACATCCTGTGGTGGTCCCTCTGGTGGAGATGGTGAAAAAGAGTTCAGAGTGCAGCAGATGAATAATGGGTGACCCATGAAAAATCTTGAATACAAATTCCACATTCTCAACATGTGGGAGACATCTGTAGCTTAATTATTGCTTGGGAAATGTATTGGCCCTTGGATGGCATCATATATAGGGAGCCAGGATTTTTTGGAGGAGGTGCATTGCAGTTGGAACAAAGGCCCCCAGCATGTTGCCAAGGCCTGAGTTCGGAAAAATGCAGGTGCAGAAAACCCTAATGTCTCAAAAATCCCCAATGTTAATCCTATGCTGGAAATGCATGGAAGAACTCCACCCATAGGGATGATTTTTTTTCTGAGCCAAAATTTTCTGCAGGATTCCAAAAAAAATATTGCACTTTTCCAAGACTTAGGCCTTGGTTCAAAAATCATATTTTTAATAGGCTTTAATGGGGACAACATTTGGCAAAAGTATCCTGACTTTTTTGCAGCAGAAGGGTTAAGGTTTTGAGTGTAATTCAGATGCAACCTCAATATTGTGCATCAATTGCTGGTGACATTATTCTCACAAAACGGTTGACATTGCTTTTTTCACAAATTACTGTACATAAAAATACATTATAGAAGCCTCCTGAAGTGCTCAGTATACATTATTAAATCATATGTTTCAGGAGGTATATAATAAGCAGCACCAAACACACTAGCGTGGCCTGGATCAGCAAATCCTGCAGTAATGATGCATTTTCTTCCAGTGAAGTATAGTTGCAGCAAAAAGCAGGAAAATATATGAAGCATTAGCGATTACACTATTACAACACACTTGGATCCATGGATTTTTGATCGACAAGCCTGGAGGGATATTTCGAAAGAAAATGCCTTTGTTTCGTGGGGGCGTGGCGCGACATCTATCCACAGGCAACAGGTGACCCACTTGCACCAAGTGCAACGGTGCATTACGTAACAGGTTTGACCATGAATACCACATCAACCCTGTTATCAGTTTGTTACCAACCGTGACAAAATGAAGCCACCGTGCGTCTCTCAGAAAATAGAAGAAGGGACAAATACATTTGATATTGACAGACAGACACACACAGAGAAACAGCCACAAGGAACAGAATGGACAGAAATAGAAAGCCGGACGCGTTGGCATCACCGGATGCTTTTGACGCCCGAAAAACGACGTGACAAGATGGCGGCCTGCACTACCCACCGGCCTCGCCACGCATCCACTTCCCCGTTCAAGTAATCTTCATTAACCCGCCGTTCGAGTATTTTCTTTCGATGCTTTTCCGGAAATGCAGGTACGGCGAGCGCGGCTTCCGCCGAAGTGAATCCATGGGACACCAGGAGCTGTATTATCATTAACGAAGTAAAGGAAAATTATTCAAATATGGCATAATTGCAATAATCTGCTTTACATCCCTTCGGAAGTCTAACGGTCCTTAATTTATGTTGTCTGAAATAGATCACTTCCTCACGAGATTCACCGGAGCGTTCTCATGAACTGAGTGAAACACCTCACTGAATAACTGTCAGATGAGAAAATAAATGCGTACACAGAACACTTTTCCAAGGTCACAGTCACACTAAGATGTGAGAGCATTTTTCGGGTTTTTATTTTTCACTTCCTTCGTGTTGTCATCGTGTTCGTACGTTGTGTAATTCTGTGCCACGGGTGAACAACCCAGGACGATGAGTTAAAAGGTGTACCGGTGATACCTGTGCCTTCAATGCCTATCACTTCCTGTCGTCGTCATCCGTTTTGGGGCAGGTGCCGAGTTGAATTAAATTCGAAAGAGGCGATAAGTTAGGTTAAATTAGTTTCGGATACGCTATTGACCTAATTGAGGATGCGTGAAAGGCCGAACCAGGTCGCTATCCTTTCGTGTAGGTTAATATAACAGTGATGAGTTCAGTTTGCGTGAACTGTTCAACGGTTGGGTCAGGTTAGTATGACGTGTACTAGGTAAGACGAATCAAGCATCACACGCAATAACTTGCCTCCCGGAAGTGTGAAGCTTCACTGTAAAGTAGATACGCGTCTCTCGAAACTGCCCATTGCCTATACGCCGTAGGACGCTTCGGTAAACTAGGGCCATCTGCATACAACCACTCCTTCTCATCAGCCGGAATTCTTTCTTCGTCGCCGTCAGATGTCACTGCCTTCGGTAGTCCAGGAAACTGTGGTCCTCGCAACTGGAGCCACTCGCACATGGAAACTGATGCCCAGGCCGCAGATTGAAGGAGGCCTATTGCCCACTGACCAACCCTTGAAAGAATATGTAAATTAGATGGTTCATCTGTCCTTTTAGTTTTCGGGAAAACGGGAATTCAACTGACTCGCTGAAGAAGTTGCGGCATTTGGTCATTTCTTGGCCAGAGAAGAGAGTCTCCGCTGATCGGGCCATGTCAGTGGCCAAGTTGGAGAACATGCTGTCCATTGGAGAGTGGCCCCCTCGGCGGGCCAGCAATGCTCTGATCCCAATGCCTAGAGGTTCGTAGAGGACTTCAGTTGATGAAGTCAGTGTCTTGCATAGTTCACGAGCCTTGCGTAGGAAATAACATCAGTTTTGTGACTATATAAGATGTTTCATTTTAAATACATAATTTTTTTGTGAGGAAAAATACTGTATTTATACAGAAGTATCCCAAAAATAGTGACCAAAAAGTTGGGTTCACGACATATACTTGTGTACACACTTTGCTTGCAAAATTTTCCAAAATTCATAAATTTTCTGTGAAAGTTTGCAATTTTTTAAGTATGCTGGTTATTGATTTTTTTTAATTTATGCTCATGAATTCTACAAAATTGTTGGTTTTCAGTCAGCCAACAAAAATAATACTGTACAGCTGTATCTACCTACTTTGTTCCTCAAATTTGAGAAGAAACAAAAGAGCACATAATATGCCATTTAAAAAAGTTTTTGACATTCAGATATTCCTACATTATTTTAATGGGAACTTAGACCAAGCTTAGCAGAAAAATTGTTTCTTCAACAGAAATATTAGAAAATTAGTCAAATTCAGGTTCAATTCATGTTTAAATTTAAATTGGGGTGTTCTTATTTTTGAAATATTAAGGTTTTAGACACTGAAAATGGGGTGCACATCTTACTTTAGGATATGATTTTAACAAAATTTTCAACTGAAAAACCCAGTGAGGGTCTGGATCAAAGTGGGTGCTATATTTCTGGTTAATGTTCTAACTTTGGTAAATCAAGCTTTGAGGGACCCACACAAGTCAAATGTGTAAGTTTTTAAGGTGGGAGACTTGGATTTCTAGTTTAGAGGGGAAAATCTTTTAAGTTGAAGGAGTCAAAGTTGGATGGTTTTTTCAGGTTTTTGAACATCAAGTGGATACAAATTTGATGTTTGTATTTTTATACAGTCAACCCCTGCACATTGGACCTCCCGCACAAAGGATTTTTGCACAGCAGACTGCCTCCAGAGGTGGTTCCCTACTGTGCAATGGACTACATCTGTATAACAGACTTCTTTTGGTTTGAAAGTTAATGATATAAATTAAAAATTTAATATTTCAATAATTGAATTTCCATAACAGACTTTTCACACAACAGACTATATATTCTTATTAAGTCTGTATTGTGTGCCAGGGTTGGCTGTACTGTACATAGAAAGCTCTGACTTTAGGAACTCCAACTCTGCTTCCCATCATTCAGGAAAGGGATTCAGTTTATCAGCATTTGTGTAAGCACATACATTTCATTGAAAAGCTTACTTTCTTATGCAAAGCGACCCTCCTGTCCCTCAAGTGCTTCAGGCAACCCTGGATTCTCTTGTAGTCTCCAATTAAAGCATCTATCCTCTCACCAGCACCTGGACAAATCTTCATCAGAAAAAGAAATGCATCAACATTAATAGTTACCAAACTCAGAACACTGAAAGTAGAATATACTGACTCCCTTCATTGCATTTTCAGAACACTGAAAAGCCTCTTCAGCCTCTTTCTCAGCTTCAGCCAACATTCGTCTCAGTTCTCTAAGTTCCAGTGAGACCTTTGAGCGCTCACACCAAACCTCTTGTCCAAACAAGTGAATCTTTTTATTGGGAGAAAGATTAATGTATCTACATTCACTTGAAATTGCTCAACAACTTCCATGAGAGGGTCACAATAAAAACTTCAGATTATACACAGTTCCTGATAATACCAGTCTTTCAATAATGCAGCTCTGTTCTACGAATATCTGTGAAGAAAGGTGGTGGTTTAGGTTGTGATCTACAGTCAACCCCTACACAATAGACTCAATTTGTGCAACAGACTATTCTGTTGTGTAAAAAGTCTTTTATGCCAATTCAATTGTTGAATTTTAATTTTAAACCAAGAGAAGTTACTTTCCTGTTATCTCAGTACCTCATTCCTAGACTGCACTACCATCCAGACAAATCTTTAGGACAAGTTCATAATCATGACAATCTACCAGAAACTGAATTTTATTTTTCCGCATTCATTAAATTGGTCAGAGGGAAGGTACAGAGATAACAGGAAAGTAGGTACTGAGATAACAGGAAAGTACTGAGAAGTCTTTTAGGCAGATTTTGTCCATTAGGTGGGAGGTAAAAGCTGCTCCCCAGAGGTGCTCTGTTGGGCAAAAATCCCCTGGGCAGGGGTTGACTGTATTTATGATTTTGTATAGTTTAACATCATAAACATCAGTCACTATCATTGGGTTTGCCTCTTTTCTTATGGCATATTCCATGAAAACTTCTACTTCTTGAATAAAAATCTGGAGGGACAAAAATGATGGTAAATTCTCATCAAAAACAGTCTGACAGTGTAGAAAAATTGAAGTTTTTCAAAAATACTTTTAAAATCTCACATAGTTCATGGAAATATCTCCTGGTATCCCATAAAGTGATGCACCCTGGAAAGAGAAAAAAGCAATTTCAAATGTGATGAAATGACAACTTTTTTTTTCACTGGCCACCTTCTCTTGAAGAGCACACTTGATCTTGGTGATGGTCTCAGTAGCAACTTTGTCCATACAATCTGAGGACATGACAGTGCATCTTGCTGGCTGAATGCCAGGACATGGATTCTCTCCCCTGATTTTCACACACTTGATGAACTTGTGGGCCTCTGCTGGGATCTAAACTTGCAAAGATATTATTGCAGTCAATCCTCAATTTAGTAAAATCTAATTTGGTGAATTAATTGTTTAAATTGTAATGCAGTAGAAACAGTATATTTGAGCCTTATATTATTTACTGCAGCTTTTGTCTTATGAAACAGACTCAATGAAGAAACAATTTGACAAAAGGCTTTTTTACCCATCATGGAACGCTTTCAATGAATTTTCATCCAACAATAATACCCCCAATTTAGTGCCACCCTTGCTTATAGAGCCAAAAAATTTGCCAGGACAAATGATGGCACTAATTTAGGGACAGAATAAGATGAATAAGATGAAAGGAAAATAGAGTGCCATACTTTGGGTGGATTTCTTGGTGGTGTTGGCTTTGGTGTCCTTTGAGGTGTGGATGGTTGCTGTCCATGTCTCCATTCTCTTTGGGCATCAACCAGGCCTTTGATGCTTCTCTTGCCTATTTCTTTCAGCTCCTCAGTATCACATACCTTCAAAAATCAGACTTACACATGAACTCTGTAAAATTATCCAACAGCAAACAACAGCCAAGATGAAAGTGAGAAATATATGAATATAGTTACTCACAGACTTTCCACCTGAGTTTTGAGTGAGATCAGCACTGACATCTACAACCCTAGTTAATTTTTCAGTCAAGTGCAAGGGGATGCTCTTGATCCTTACCAAGTTTTTCTGCAAATGTTCCTGTGCCATATTGAGTGAATTTGGAAAAGCAAAATGACCAATTTAGATGCCTAACTGAGATAAGATTATCAAAAACCATGGAAAGTTCATCTTGTGATACTCTGCTTACATTCAAAGGATTCAGTAAGTACAAACAAGTGAAAGTTGATTCACTTGATACTCATGTCCATTGTATTTCAGGAAGAAATAATACAGTTTAAAAATTATGTTTCTGGGATAATAACGGAAACTTCCAGTTTTCCAGTGAAGTCATTGCAGTAGCTGTTCATGCAGGTGCATTTCAGCCTGAAAGGGGTTTCAGAAACAATCACACAAGGCTCCCTGAAGTTCATCTCAGTCCAGCTCCCATACACTGACCCACAACCTCTTTCTCTCACCATTCCTTGAAAGATGAATTAAGCATCAAGAAGTTGATAGGATAAAACATTCTTGTACAATATTTCTTTTCAAGGACAAATAAATACCTAGACTGTCAAGGGATATGAAGCATCCAGTTTTCCCTTCACCAGTGATCACAGGTGGACAGTTCACAGCCTCACCAAGGAAATGTGTGCATGAGTCAGTTGATATTGCTGTCTCTGAGCAAATGTAGCATCTGGACATGGGATCTGCATGAAAAAAGAAGGTATATATTGATTGAAATGTGCATACACAGTCAACCCCTGCACAACAGATATAATTTGTGCAAGAGACTAGTCTGTTATGTGAAAATAAAGTCTGTTGTGCAAATTCAGTTGGGAAGCAAATGGAGATGTGAGCTGAGACTCATGTCCACTAGCTGCTGCATGCACTTTTATACAGACTGGACTCTGTGGATTTGTCTGTTATGCTGCAAGAGGAAAAACTGTCTCCAAAGGCAGTCTCTTCTGCAAAAATCTGTTGTGCAGGAGGTATGTTGTGTGGGGGTTGACTGTACTGTCAAATGTGCATATACTGTCAACCCTCGCTTAACATTCTGTTTGCTTAACATTTTTTTGCATAATGTTCCCAGTTGTATGAGAAAAATCCCCTTGCTTAATGTTTGGAAATCCGCACAACATTCAGCAGTTGTGAGGCACCGCGTGATCAATGTGGATGCCTCCCTCCTGTACATTTTCTTGAATGTGACTTTTTCCACAGCTTTAAATGTTTCCTGTGTGGTGGTGTGATGTTACAATTATTTTATGAACAATTGCAGTGTCAGACACTGAATTTTGGGTAATTGACGCTGAATTTTGGAATTGAGTGAAGAACTGTGGTTACTTTTTGAATGTAATGGCAGTGCATAAAGCTCAGTTGTTGGAATACACTCTTTCATTAATTTTTTTCTGAATTTCACTGTTAGAAAATTTTGCCTGACACCAATTAAACGTTTCTCCCTTATATCTTAAGGGAGAGACTACCTTGTGCTTAACGTTTTTTCAGCTAACATTTTTTCCGCTGCACCAACTAAAAACATTAAGCAAGGGCTGACTTTACCATGTATGAAACCCTTGGTTTAGTGAAGTAACTTACAGATACAGTGGTTCATGATTGGATGGAACAGCTTGTAGCTGTCTACTGCATGCACATCCACAATCTCATCCAGGCACTCACATTTCTTGTTGACCCTGTCACAAATTGCTGCTGCATTGCAAAATCCTGAACATTTGCCAACTTCTGCATGTGGCCAGAAAATGAAGAAATGTTGCAAAGCATAAAAAATATATGTACAGTACCATATACAGTAAAATATTTGAACAAACTTCCAAATTGCTGGGGACTATGAAAAGATTTCTTATCCTTACATTCATGGCAGTATCATAAAGTTTAAGGACAATTTTGAGAGCAACAAATGATGTTCCAACTGCTTCCACAACATATATTAGAACATTCAATCAATTCCAGCTGTTGCTATTAAAGGTAGAATCCACTGTTGAAACCTATATTCTATTGAAGTGTTTTTAATATGTGGACACATTGCCAAGTTTTCTGAAAGTGTACTGATGAAGAGCACCAGTCTGCATCTTTTCTACATTGATAGATAATCTGATGTGCAAAAAATAAAGCATATTTCACTTTTTGGATTAATTTTTATACCCTGCATGTATATAAGCACAATTTTTAATTTGGATTTTCTGTTCATGAGCAAATATATATTTTATAGATCTTTACACATGTCCAGGAAATTTTTTTTATCCTGATACAGTAGATGTTCAACAAAATCTGATGGAACAAGATTTTCATAGCATATTTTTCATGTGAAGAATTTGCTCTTGAAGACCTCACACTTTTCAAGAAAATGTGTTTCTTGTCATGATGAGACTTTTTTTCCCCAAAAATCTATGTGGCAAAAAGCAATATATTCATGAGAAGAGAATAGTATTTTAAGATGAACACAATTCACTGCCATCTGCATACTGATGAAATTCTAAAGCAGTGACAGTATTAAAATTGGATTATTTTTTTGAGAATTTCAAAATTCAGAGGATCTATAATTAAATACTCTCGCATCACCTGATGGAATGCAAGAACTTGGACTTTGAATACCAGCCGGTTCAAATCCCCGTCGACACAAGCAAATTTTGTTGCAATACTGCGTCTTCAAGTCACAATCATCGTCCGAAAAGCAAACTAAAAAATATCAAAGAAATGCATCATTTCCTTCTGATCAAGCAAAGCAACACTCCAAAATTCGAGCGACACACAGAAGTGAATTTTGGCAAACGCAGCTTGCCCGACTATTCCTTGCTCCCTAGGTGTCACTCGCTGTCCACTGAGTCCTCGCTTCTGCTGCTGCTGCATCATATCAATGGAAACAGGGTTCAGAAAAACGCTGAAGTTCACGTCATCAGTCCTTGAACTGCATTCCCCAGAAGCAGGAAAGATAACCATGAACAGTATGAAGGCATAAAATTGAGCCATTATATTGTGATGGAAAAACCTTGCATGGGTTCCCAGCAGATAAAATAATTCAGGGGGCAGCTTTGATGAATGATCATCATATATGCACATGATACCTTCCAATGTATATAAAGGCATCAGAGAAAATCCTTGTGCTTAATCAATCACCTGGCAAACATTTAAAATTTACCTGATTGCTTTTCCATGTTCCTTTCCATAGTGTTTACAATACTGCATTCAGTGCCTTTAGATATAAAAGGAGTGCTGAATGCTTTGTCAAAGCAAAAATGACACATTTTCTGCATGCATGCATGCAATGATGACAGCTTCATTTCCCACCCCTTTCACCATCAGCTGTGTTTTCTGCCTGGGGTTCTCTGAAAAGTTCTGGTCATCAGGAATGAATTTATATTATGTATATACAGTGGTGTTCTGGAAAGGACTTTGTGGAAGATTCCTTTCCTCCAAAGCAGGGGGACTTGTCATTGAAATGATGCAAAAAAGGGGGGGGGGACCTGTTTGGTGTCTCATGTCCCCCAGGGAGCCATCTGAATGACTTGGGAAAGGAATCAGGTTCCCATGAGAGTGTTTCTGGTGTGATGGAAAAAATCCAATTTGCCCTCCTCCATTTCTCCATTTATAAAAACTCAATCACACACACACACATGCACAAAGTCTTTATTGGGAGATCAACTAGAAATTTTCTGGCCTCCTGAAATCACCTGGAACTTCACTGGTAAAAAAATTATTTTTCTGGCTTATTTATAAAAATTCAAATTTGCAAATAAAATTTCAAACTTCACTTGAATATACTGTTCAAGGTTTTATTCATCATTTGTCAGTCTTGTTTTCTGGAGTTTTCTTGCTGGAGCTGCAAAAAAATATAAAATAGCCTCAATTTTCAATTTTGAAAACAACTCTGGAATTTGCTTGCATTCTAAAATTCACCAGAAATTTGATTGAGTATGTGTTTTAAGGAGAATGTGTTTCAAAATTTAGTGTCAGAAAGTTGAAAAATTAATTTCAATCACTGGGAATTAAACTGGAAATTTTATTGAGTTTGTAAACTTGCAAAAAAAGTGATATATTCTTGGGAGAAACACAATTGTTTTATTTGCAGAAGAAAAAAGATTGAAAACAAATGGTGGCATGGATATATTTCAAGTTTTGTCAGTCTTCTTGTTTGAATCTTTGTCAAGTTCTCCTGTTGTACATAATTAATTCTAAAATTATCATTTCCTGTATGTTTTTCTCAATTTTCAGCTCTCCTAAATTGAGTTCTAAGAATGATGGTGAGATCACTCTTACAAGGCAGTTTTATGTATTTTTCAAATATAATTTTCATTTAACTTTATGCAATATATATACAAACAAATCTCAGCAATTATTGTACCTCAATTAAATATGTACCACTTTTGAAGTTTTCCTGTCATTTTTGCAAATAATATAGCAGAAAGGCGATTGATTAAATACTCAAGGAAGTTTTGAGGATTTGAGCATTTTTGCATTAACAGGTACTTGATTCAATAAGTATCAAATGATCCCAGACTGAACAATTTTTAATTCTGGCACCCAATTGATTTTAAAATTACTGTTACAATACCAACAGTGTTTCTTAAGCTGAAGTGAAAATACTTTGGGGTCATCAAGTGAAAGCAAGTGAAAATTCAATAGTTCTTCAAAGCACATAATATAAATGAATTGATGATCAACTGCATCAAAAAAGCATATATTCCAGAGTGTTTTGATTAAAAAAACAGTTGTTTTATTGATTTTAAAGAACATGCATTTGCCAATAACAACTAGGAACATACAAAGCATCCTTTTTTGAGCATGTTTTGTCCACCATATCATGGGGGAAGAAAACCAACCTGGTGACATGTATTTTCCCCTCTCTTTCTTCCAAAAGCCCCCATGAATAAAAGCCAATAACAGAAACACAAATCTCTTTTTCATCATCAGCAGGCAATTGAGCACAAAATCAGCTGAGATTTGATATGCAGTGCTTGGTTGCCCTTAGCAGCATCAGCATCAGCAACAGCAGCAGGGAACTGGTGGCAAAGTGTGTATAATTCCAATAAGCAGACTACATATATATATATATATTGCATATATAAAAGGGGGAGGAAAGGATATTGATTCACTCATCCTGCCAAACATTTCTCAATCTGCATAATCCCTGATGCAACACCTTGTGTCTTCCCAGCTGAAATTAATCCCTGCTGTGTCTCTTCATGGCAACTTCAAGTTTCTCACCAAGTTACTTCACTTCAAATTCTCTCACACTTGATTGATGCCCTCTAATAATATACATGGGACAAAGAAAATAAAATTATTCATCAGTGCATTCTGGGTATAATTTAAAAAAAAGCTTTCATGAAATCTCCTGAAAGCAATTCTAGGCTTTACATATTACATAAAAAGCTTAGTGAATGATGAAGACATTTGTTGTGAAGAGCTTGTCAGAAAAGCCACACTTTTTCTAGCCAAAATTTTGTCAGAAGCCCTTTTATAAATGGGAACACTTTTGAAAAGAGACAAGGTTTTGAATATAGATATACAGTATATACAGAAATGCTTTCAAGGTTTGTCCCTGTTGGCTGAGGGGAAGTAGGAACATGTTGAAGAGTTGTCAGGAAGGTCCTTGAGGGGGATCCATGCTTCTCTGGGGAAAACCCCTGCTCTTTGCAGCTCTCTGCTTCTCTGGAAATTGTATATGTATATATATATGAAGCAGAGTGTATATAGGTTTTTCCTCAATACATTGCTTGGATTTGAGAGAGATTAGAAATTACCTTTTCAACTTCCTGCAAGACTCTGAGAATATTACCACCTGCCAGTTTCCTCAGGTCAGAGTGACTCCATTTGGGATCCTTGGCTAACCTCAAAATCAGTGCTGGGTACTTGGAAACATCTTCCAATCCACTTGGAGTTCTGGAAAACAAAAGAAGAAGCCGATTGATGACAATCAATTTTTTTAATACTGTATATATATATATATGCAATAAAATTGGCAGGGAGCAATTACTCACTTGTTGATACCATCAAACTCTGATCCAATCCCAACATGATCAACTCCAGCTACATTCCTGATATGGTTTATGTGAGCTGCATGAAATTGAAACTTGATTCTTAAACTATGCTGCAAACACTTTGAATTTTATGAAGGGCAAAAGATTTGAATATATACTGACCAATGACATCTGATATGTCAGCAGTGTCCTTACATGCCAGTTGAGAGCTGAAGAATGTCACCATGACAACACCACCATTCTTGGACTAAGGAAATGGTTACAAACAAGCTACAGTATATCAAATAACATTGATGGTTCTATCACTTCTATATGTATGTTATGGTGTCACATTTTTCTCAGTGCCATTATTCCATTGCATTTCATTCATCACATATATAGGCAACATTTTACAAAATTGCACTTTACAACAAATCCGAACAATGTACAGTATTGAGGAAAAACCTATACACTCTGCTAAATATATATAATTTTTCAATTTACAATAATGTTGGAATTTACAATTTTGGACATTACAATTTTGAAATTCATAATATTGCAATTTACAAATTTGCAATGCACAATTTTTGAATTTACAATTTTGCAATGAAAATATTTTGAATTTACAATTTTGGACTTAACAATTTTGAAATTTACAATTTTGAAATGAACAATTTTGGAATTTACAAATTGGGAATTACATTAATTTTGGATTTTTTCAATTTGGAAATTTTACAATTTTAGGCATTTTAAAATGATTGGTAGGGAATTATTTGCTAAATTGCAACTGCTTTAGTATTGCTGGGTTTGGTTCATGAAAATTGGCAATTTTAAATAAGATTTTGTTTCCATGTGACCCAAAAATGAAGCTTACCAAGCGATGAAGGACATCATCATGAACATTGTTGGAGTCATTGCAGAGGGAAAAGGCTGCTGAGTGAGAAAACAAGACAGGAGCTGTGGACACATTCAGGGCATCCATTGCAGTTTTGCGCGCAGCTGAGCTCAAATCCACTGCCATTCCCAATCGGTTCATTTCTTCAACCACTACCTGTTTTGTTTTTTTCCAAAGCCAGAGAATTTTCAGAATATTCAGCATGTGCAAAGAAGGAAAATTTGGACGAGCCAAGAGAAGAGTAAGTCTCAGAATCTTATTGCTGTCATTATGTCACATTTCAGTGTTTAAAAACTCATACAGAAAAAGGCTGAAGACCTTGTGCTTTGCGTAAACTTTTACTGCTGCTTTGCCTTCAATATTGGGGATGGGTGGGTGTATGCAACATATGCATAGGATGTCCAGTTTTTATTTTTTAGAGTGTGTTCTCTTTTGTTTTTGTCATTGATTTATGCTTTGTTTCATGCTTTGAAGTTATTGAATGTATTTTGGGGGAGTTGGGTTGGGTGGGGAGGGGGTTTGGATGCAGGAGTTTTGGTTGTACCTTGTGAACGCTGAAAAGCGGCAATTAAATTTTTCTGTTCATTCATTCATGTCACATTTGGAACTTTTGTGTGTGACAGCAACTCAGTTTCCCAGCACTATAATTTGCAAAAGAGGATAAGAAAGAAATGTGTCTCACCTTGCCAAATTCTGTGAGTCCAGATGGTCGGTTTTGCGAAACACGATTGTTTTTGCTCTCATCATGTCGCAGTTGATGAGCAGGGGCAAAAGCTGCTTCAGCCCTATAAATATGACATTATTGCAGAAGAACATTTTATTTTTTGAAATTTTCCAAAACAAACAGGGATATTTCACATTGCATTTTTTTTCTATATACCATGGAGTGTTGCATTGATGAGTGAGTGACAAATAACGCACTCCAAGGTCAAACATGATCCTGAGGATCCCCAAGTTGCTGCCAATGGCATGTCCACCTTCCACACCAATCAGAC